TCCATATATATGTGTTAGCATACGGTATTTGTCTCTTTCTGACTTACTTCACTCTGTATGACAAACTCTAGGTCTATCCACCTCATTACAAGTAGCTCAATTTCGTTTTTATGGCTGAGTAATATTCTATTGTATATATGTGCCACATCTTCTTTATCCATTCATCCGATGATGGACACTTAGGTTGTTTCCATCTCCAGGCTATTGTAAATAGAGCTGCAGTGAACCTTTTGGTACATGATTACTCTTTCTGAATTCTGGTTTCCTCAGGGTATATACCTAGTAGTGGGATTGCTGGGTCATATGGTAGTTCTATTTGTAGTTTTTTAAGGAACCTCCATACTGTTCTCCATAGTGGCTGAACCAATTCACATTCCCACCAGCAGTGCAAGAGTGTTCCCTTTTCTCCACACCCTCTCCAGCATTTATTGTTTCTAGATTTTTTGATGATGGCCATTCTCACTGGTGTGAGATGATATCTCATTGTAGTTTTGATTTGCATTTCTCTAATGATTAATGATGTTGAGCATTCTTTCATGTGTTTGTTGGCAGTCTGTATATCTTCTTTGGAGAAATGTCTATTTAGGTTTTCTGCCCATTTTTGGAGTGGGTTGTTTGTTTTTTTGTTATTAAGCTGCATGAGCTGCTTATAAATTTTGGAGATTAGTCCATTGTCAGTTGCTTCATTTGAAAATATTTTCTCCCATTCTGAGGGTTGTCTTTTGGTCTTGTTTATGGTTTCCTTTGCTGTGCAAAAGCTTTTAAGTTTCATTAGGTCCCATTTGTTTATTTTTGTTTTTATTTCCATTTCTCTAGGAGGTGGGTCAAAAAGGACCTTGCTGTGATTTATGTCATAGAGTGTTCTGCCTATGTTTTCCTCTAAGAGTTTGATAGTTTCTGGCCTTACATTTAGGTCTTTAATCCATTTTGAGCTTATTTTTGTGTATGGTGTTAGGGAGTGATCTAATCTCATACTTTTACATGTACCTGTCCAGTTTTCCCAGCACTACTTATTGAAGAGGCTGTCCTTTCTCCACTGTACATTCCTGCCTCCTTTATCAAAGATAAGGTGACCATATGTGCGTGGGTTTATCTCTGGGCTTTCTATCCTGTTCCATTGATCTATATTTCTGTTTTTGTGCCAGTACCATACTGTCTTCATTACTGTAGCTTTGTAGTATAGCCTGAAGTCAGGAAGCCTGTTTCTTTGGGTTTTTCCGTAACATCTTAGGGATAATAAATGTCAGTAATTCTTGATTTAAAAATTAAAGAAGCCTACTGCAAATGATTTGTGTCCTTTCAAGTTAAATTTTTTCAACCTTTTTATTTGCTTACTGTAAAAATAATATTTCATCAAAAATAGAAAGGCAATATTTAATTGTTATAAGATTATTATGAACAAATTTTTAAAAATCTCAACTTTATAATAGCTTTCATGACTTTTATGATAATAGAAGAACCTTTAATTGACATTGCATTGGCAGGTCAACTTTCTAAAAATCAGTGTCAGTAAACCATTTCATCTCCTGCCATGTTTAATATTAAAAATCTTTAATATAGAACATGTTGATAAAATTCCCCAGAAACCATTTTTATTTTTTTTTGTAGTACCTAATAAGGTTTTTTTTTCTTAGGCTTTAAGTTACTCATTTGAAGCTGTAAGATGTAATGCCATAGGATTTCAAGCCAAAATTTATTTGATTTTAGCTAGTAATGCTCTATTTATTAAGAGGAGGCAGTGTAGTAATGATAGGCAATCCTTGGGAGTTTGAAACTGTGTTCTAGTATTGCTTATGCTAGCTGAGTGTGTGGCTGAGCCTTGGTTTCCTCCCTGTAAAGTACTGGATTAGAAAAAATGACCTTTGTTGCCTCCCAGCCTTCAGTCCCCTCTTACTGTTCTTGCTCCTTCCACTGTCCATACCACCTATCTACTATTTATTGAACACCAGTTGCTAGATACTCTATGAAGCAAGTTACAGATAGTGATCATGTAATCCTTGCAATATTCTGGACTACTGTTCCAGTTTTAAAGATGAGAAAAATTAAGGCCAGATGTTGCTCAAGGTCAAATAGCTAAGTATATACAGAATTTGTATAAAAAAATCAGGTTTTTAAAAGGTTTTGAAAGTCTCTTCTCCTCACCACTGTGCCACACAGAATATGAATGGAAAAGCCTTCTCAGTAGTCAGAATAAGCATTAGAAAGTCAGTGAACTGAAAGTCTTTATTTTTTAGTCACAATAGATTAGCTCCTAAGTGACTAAGTCCTTTCCAAGCTCCCTCTGCCATTTGGGCAGTTTCTGCTAGGCTTAGCCTAGACTGGCCTCTTTTTTGTTCTCTTTAGTCTCATCTGCAGCTGACAATGCCACTCCCTGCAGAAGCTCTTCCTCTTACCCCTTCCATAGTTTGACCAGATGGCTTTTTTTTTTTTTTTTTAAATAATGAAGACAACATGATAGCTGCCAGGCTGTTTTTTTCTTATGGTATTTTATGTGTCTTGTGGTTAATAGTTTGTTGCATCATATTGAATGAGTGATTGGTGTAGGTTAGCCCCAAAGTCCTGCATAAAATGTGTAAGGCTTGCATTGTGTATTCCGTGTATAAGGTCAGATTTATCAGTATTTCCTTAGAGAAGCCTCTCTCCTAACCACTTGCATTTCTTTTTCCTTTCTCACTCATATAAACCACACATTGCATACACATTTACACAACAGCACAAAACACTCAGGTTCAGAACTTTAATTTTAGAGACAGATTTTAAGAATATTAATGTTCCATAAACAATTATTTTGCTCCCAGTTATATGCCAGGTGCTATGCCAAACACATTTGCATGAATTATCCTATTTAACAAACTTATTTATCTGATATCTTTGTCATCAGGAGAAGAGTGTCAGCAACTTAGAATGTAAAATAGTCTTGTTAAATTACTTTATTAGATACTAGTATTTTTATAATAATGGTTTTAGTGGATTATTTAATGTCTTAACCTTTAGGAAATCAGTGAACTAATATCTCTGGATATTGCCTAAAATACTGTGTGATCTTGAGAGGGAACCTGTTTTACTGGTTTTAGTTTTGTCTTTTCTCCAAGGTATGGCTTTATTTACGTATCTGATTATGAATTTTGTGTATATATGTATATATATATACATATGCATACATACACATATATGTGTATATGTATTTTATGTTACTTTCATCTATAGCATTAAAATATTTTTTGATATTTAAGTGAAATATGTTTTATGGAAAAAAAGTAATTACAGGGCATTTTTTCCCTTTTTAAAGATTTTGATGGATCATCAAAATCTGTCAGAACATGTACTCTGCATGGTTTTATATCTGATTGAATTAGGACTTGAAAATTCAGCTGAAGAGGAATCAGATGAAGAGGTAAGTAGTTTCTTGTATTTTTAAATGTTAAAGTTATGACATGCCTTAATAAAAGGTTGTATGTCATCTTGAAAGGTATTTATGGATTCATCATACTCAGATGAAAATCTTCCTAAGAACTATTGGAAAAGGCCCTTTTTAATCTTCACATACATATGTTCTTTGAGAGGTTTCACTAATACATTAAACTCCATTTGTAGAATTATTGAATTTGAAATTCGTGATTCATAATATATAGATCTAAGAAACGTGGTTAGTGCACTTTTGGTGTTAATGCTAATAACATTGATTACTGGTAAATAATTGTTATGTTAGGAATTCAGTCTAGAAATTCTAATAATTTGATTAGGGGTTAATTTTGAGTAGCAAATTGTTTCTGTAAAGGTTTTAAGTTAATGGAGTAAGTATTGTTATAAGGGAGAATGTTTACTTAAGAATACAAGTTGTTAATCTGTTTCAGGATTTTATAAGTATCACTTCCGTAAAAGTAATTGTCACTACAAATTGATTTTATAATTAATTGATATTTTACTCATCCCCTCCCTCCAAAAAGACAGAATACAACACAACATAATAACAGCAAAAAAACAAACAAACAAGAAAAAACCAGACAAGTAAAAAGACTAGGCTGTACTTTATATTCTAAGTTGAGTCAACATATATTCTTCCATAGATATTAAAAGGTCATTACGATTCCTCTAAGACTAAGTCAGACTTTTGGTTGATTTTTCAGACTTTCTTCTTCAGTTAGTCCAAATTAGCATTATTTGACTGTATTATGAGTTATTCCTAATGGTTGATGAATAATATTCTGTACTAAGTATTTCCAAATTGAAAAGTGTATTTTTTTCTGGAGAAGTTTAGCTGACTTCCATTGGACTTACATATAGTAGTACTGAGAAATTTGTTCTAAAATTTTGTGTTTGTATTTGGTTTTATTAGCACTTTGTGATTTGTGAATGAGACTATAAGGGATTCAGGAATATGACAGGCAATAGACTATTATTTGGGCTTGTTACATTTCCATTGTACCTTAGACCAGATTGGCAAGGTTTGATATTCATTATGTTTATGTTTTAGGCATCAGTAGGTGGACCAGAACGTTGTCATGACAGTTGGTTTCCTGGTAGTAACTTAGTATCAAACATGCGACACTTTATAAATTATGTTAGAGTGAGAGTTCCAGAGACTGCTCCTGAAGTGAAGAGAGACTCACCTGCAAGTACCAGCTCTGATAGCTTGGGTTCTTTACAAGTAAGTGTAAAAGAGAGAACAAAAAAAAGGAAAGACTTTGTTATGTTGGGTTGTGTCATTTAGATCATCCTATCATATCCAAAAAAAAAATAAATGTGGTTGTAGATAATTTTAAATTGTCTTTTATTTCCTCTGATATATCTAAGCAACTTTTGCCTCACCCATCTTCTTCCTTTAATCTGCCAGAGTTCACGTCGGCCTAAAGTTCTTCAAAGAGAGGTAGAAGTATATAATATTTGCATTAACTAGCAATATGGCTTTAACTGGAAATGGGGACAAATGCTGAAGTAATTGTGTGTATATGTGTGTGTTTAATTAATATGGTTAGATTTAAAAAATGTTTAATGTGTGTGTGTTTTTTAAATGCAGTAATTTTGGCTTAATTTTAAAGAAAATTCATATTATTGAACTTAAAAAATAATACTGCATATTTAATAGTGGGTTTTTCTTAGTAGTGTTAGTATTTTGGGCCAATTATAAGCGGCACATTTCAGTCTGTTTACATTTAGCATTGTTACTAACATCTTAAAAATGAATGTTCCCTAAATCAAAATAAATTTAATCTTTAGTTGCTGGTGGCATGCCCATTCACAACTTTTTTTTTTTTGCTCCTAAGGCAGTTAATTAACTTTGATAAAATAAGCCCACAAAAATCTTAAACTCCATATATAGTGTATTTGGACGCATTTTGAAAATCAGCTCTCTCATTGCATGTAGCTTAATTAATTTATAGAAAGCAGAAATGAAAAATCTTGATATGACGGGGCAAATAACTAAATTTAAATACCTCTAATTCCTACAATATAGATTTTTGCAAGTAAAGAACATTGAATCAGACATTTCTTGTTGAAGAGTCTATTTGTAGGAACTTTCTTTGTCTTTGACAATATGTTTTTGCTGTGAACACCATAAAGAATTTTGATTAAAATATTAGAATCTGTAAGCAGCAGTCTTTGCCTCTAATGCTGATAGAGAGTACGTTGAAAAACAGCTTGGATGTTAAAAAAAAATAATGTATGTTGTAATTCAGCTCATAAAAAGCTCAACTGATTGAAGTATCCTTTCTATGCTTGCTTAAAAAAATTAATGAAATCCATTAAACTAGCTTGTATCTTAATTAAAAGATGATTTCTAAGAGCCCTAATGCAGTTTGACTGCTTTAGCAGAAAAGGCTAGTTTGAAGATAAATTATTGAGAGAAATGGTTTTAAAAAATCTGTTCAAATGACAAATTATAGTGATATTTAAATATGAAAGAGATTAGTTTGATTTTTCATCTTTATATTTCACTTCAGTAACTTAAAGCATTTGTGTTAGAATTAATTTTCAAACTTTTGAAGTTCCTTAAAAATGAAATTAATTAGCAGTTCAGATTCATTAATTTGGAAAAAAATTAATTTATAATTTTCTTAAGTGGAAGATATTGTGGTCTTTCAGAAGTTGGTAAAGAGTATAGTATTCTTGATGAATGTTGGATAGAATAGCTTTTATTCCTTTAATCTGATGAAGGACTTTGTTTATGATTCCTCTTTAATATGGCTGTAGAAACTACTCAAGCTTTGTCTATTTTCCCTGGTAGGTAGGCCCAGGAGGTTGTAAAACAGGTGTTACTGTGGATAATCGCCTTTCTCCTCGATGTTTCCAGGTTGAGTGGGACTAAGTATATTTGAGAGAAGTGAAGAGACAGATTTACTTAAAGAGCAAATCTATTAAATAAATAAATCTTTGGATGAAACTTTGAACATTCCCTTTTGAAAATGTAGTACTAATGTGGTTTAAACTTGACACTTGGATAACTTCTCTTGATTTTTCTTTCTTTCTCTTTTGAATGGTAGAATTCTGGTACAGCTCAAGTTTTCAGCTTAGTAGCAGAGCGTAGAAAGAAGTTTCAGGAGATCATCAATCGCAATAGCAGTGAAGCAAATCAGGTGGTTCGTCCTAAAACTTCAAATAAATGGTCTGCACCTGGTTCAGCTCCACAGTTAACTACAGCCATTTTGGAAATTAAAGAAAGCATATTGTCTTTGTTAATTAAACTTCACCACAAACTCTCAGGAAAACAAAACTCCTACTATCCTCCCTGGCTTGATGACATAGAAATTTTAATCCAACCAGATATACCTAAATATAGTCATGGAGATGGTATAACTGCAGTAGAAAGAATTTTACTAAAAGCTGCATTGCAAAGCAGAATGAACAAACGCATCATTGAAGAGATATGTAGAAAAGTGACCCCTCCTGTACCACCCAAAAAGATCACTGCTGCAGAGAAGAAAACACTGGACAAAGAAGAAAGGTAATTTTTATTTTTAATGCTTTAAACTAATATATGGTACAGTTGAAGATTTTATATTACCCCCCCCATCCCCACTTTTGGCCATCTGAGGCTAATCACCTGGATGTTTATCAGCTATAATCATAGCTGATAAGTTTGTAAGATAAATGGAATCAAAGATAGTCAGTGCTTGTGCATTTAGCATGCTTGAGTTAGTTATCATTTACATTTAGAATACATATGGTGACAGCCATATGTATTCTAAATGTAAGTGTACCTGTATGTATTTAAAGGTGAGCTGTAGAGTGCGTAGCTCATTGTTTTAATTAAAGAAACATACTGGGGCTTCCCTGGTGGCGCAGTGGTTGAGAGTCCGCCTGCCGATGCAGGGGACACGGGTTTGTGCCCCGGTCTGGGGGGATCCCACATGCCGCGGAGCGGCCAGGGCCGTGAGCCATGGCTGCTGAGCCTGTGCGTCCGGAGCCTGTGCTCTGCAACGGGAGAGGCCACAGCAGTGAGAGGCCTGCATACCGCAAAAAAAAAAAAAAAAAAAAAAAAAGAAACATACTGAAACTTATAAGTTTATTCTAAGTTTACAAAGGAGTAGTATAGGAGACCAAACACATATTCTATCGGTGCCATTATTATTTAAACATTTTTGGAGGTCTCATAGGTCTTTGAGCATCTATGGCACATTTTTGTGTGTTTCCATTTCTTCCTTGATGACAAATTTTTGTCCTTTGAGGATGGGTTTAATTTTTAAAACCTTTTTATTCTGAAGAAATCTCAAACTTACAGAGATGTTTCAAGGATAATACAAAGAACTTCCTGGATCATTTCAGAATAAGTTGCTTTACCCTGGAATACTTTAGTGCGTGTTTTTTTAGGAATAAGGTCATTTTCTTACCTAATCAGAATACACCTTTCAAAATAAGGGAATCAACATTTTATTTAGTACGATAAAATCATTAGATCCCAAGTTTTGACAGTTTTCCCAGTAACGTGTCTCAGAGCAAAAAGATCCAGTCCAGAATCACTCATTGCATTTTGTTGTCATGTCTCTTTGGTCTCCTTCAGCATGGAATAGTTTCCTCAGTTTTTCCTTTATTTTCTTGACCTTGGCACTTTTGAAGATTATAGAGCAATAAACACTGTAGAATGTCCCTCAATTTGGGCTTGCCTCCTTTCCTATTATGTTTGGATTCAGATGATGCACCTTTGAGAGGAATATCAAGGAAGTGTTGCTGGGGAGTTGCCTGGTGGCCTAGTGGTTAGTATCCTGGGCTTTCACTGCCATGGCCCAGGTTCAATCCCTGGTTGGGGAACTAAGATCGTGCAAGTTGCGCGGCCCGGCCAAAAAAAAAAAAGGAAGTGTTGCTGTTTTCTTTTGACTGCATCCCATCAGGTGTCACATGATTTTAATTTGTTTCATTACTGGTGATTAACGTTGATCACTTGATTATGAGGGTGTCTGTTAGACTTCTTCACTGTCAAGTTACCCTTAGTAACTTTCCTCTCTTCCCCCCCATTTGTAATTAATATGTAATTTGTGGGGAGATACTTTGAGATGCTGCAATATCCTGTTCTCCACCAACTTTCAGTTTATTCATTTATTTACTTATATCAGTTTGGAGTTATGGATTCTTATTTTATTTTATGGGTTATAATTTCATGCTCATTAATCATTTTGATGCTCAAATTGTTCTAGATTTGACCAGTGGGAGTCCCTTCAAGCTGGTTCCTGTGTTCTTTGGATTTCTCCCCACCATTCTTTGAGCATTTTCAATTATTTTCTGGGCCAAGAAGATAGCCCAGGTTCATCTTGTGTTTGGTATTAGCCATTTCTCTAAAGAGTCCTGGTTCCTTTTAGTAAAGAATCTTATTTAGAAACTACAATCCATGTGCTCATTCTAATGAGCTCGTTCACAGACCCTCTTAGTGGGCAAAATGTGTGTGTATGGGGGACGGATAAAGGGAGGGGAGAGAGAGTTATTAAAAACTATGACTGTGAGTTCAACCTGATAATCCCAATTCTAATCCAACACCATAGGATTTATTCTTCTTTTCCTTCTTTTCATAATTGTAACTCTTTCCTCCCATAGTGGCCCCTGGCCCCTATAATCCTTAATATGTATTAATTTTTGATTAATTCCCTTGTATGTAACCAATTTCTTGTAACTTTCCCCCACATGAATGCCTTCCTGTGCCGGGCCGTTGGGTCTTGCTTGACACCCTGTCCTAGGCCACTGTGCCACCTTCCACGTTCAGGAAGGAAAGAGAGCGCAGGAGTGGTTTTTTTTTTTTTTTTTTTTTGCTGTACGTGGGCCTCTCACTGTTGTGGCCTCTCCAGTTGTGGAGCACAAACTCCGGACGTGCAGGCCCAGCGGCCACGGGTCACGGGACCAGCCGCTTCACGGCATGTGGGATCTTCCCGGACCGGGTCACGAACCCACGTCCCCTGCATTGGCAGGCGGACTCTTAACCACTGCTCCACCAGGGAAGCCCAGGAGTGGTTTTTAATTTTTTGAAATGGATAATGTCATTGGGAGTCCACTTTGATGGTGATCAACCTGGATAATAATATATTGGCTTAAAATATAAAATATAATATAAAAAATAAGAGTTGTATTTATAAAATAGGTAATACAGTGAGTTTTCTTAAGTGGGCCCTAAATTACATTTAAAGTAAATGTTAGAAAAGGAGTGTTAAAAATCTCTTGAACTTTATTGGCAAAAATATGTAACTTTTCATGGTAAGCTGGATCACAGTACTTGATTTTATAGATGTTTGTGATTATCTCCACTAAATGGGTCAGAGTGGATGTGTGAATAATCTAAAAATTACCGTCAGCATTCCATTCTTCTAAATTCTATATCCTTTAATCATTTCAGATTAATAGCAGAATTCTTTTATGTTTCCCATAGAAATTACTTCATAGAATCTCAGTTTAATAAAATTCTTTTGTAGTATATAGATATAATAAATGGTCACTAAAAGAAACTGCTATAGTATACTCCATCCATTATGTTTTTTTTTTTTCCATCCATTATGTTTTTAATGTCCTTTGTATCATGGGCTATGCTAAATCCCTTTTTGAGTTTAGTTCAAGTAAAAAGTTTGTCTCTCCCAATGAGTTAATATATAACTTACCTTTTAACCTTTTTCTTCTTCCTCTCCCTCCTCTCTTGTTTTGAATTACTATATTAACCTTACCTTGCTGGGGGTAGAATTTTATGCTTATTAGTGTTTCTAGCATCTTTAAATGTAGGGAAGCCTATCTCCTGTCTTTATTAGTTTACTTTTATTTTCTTACACTTAATGTTATAGTCATTTTTTTTCTTTTTCAACTAGCCTCAAATTAAAGTGCTCTTTGGAAGTAGATAAGGGATAATTAATAAATAGAATAAAGTGAACTAATCCAAAGGAATGTTTATGCTTAGATTTGGAATATAGTTTTATCTTTATCTTGTATTTGAGACTCTTTCATATTCTTTTACTTCAAACAAAATAAACCAAACTTGGAATATTTCCTGGTAGAAACTGGAAAACTTCCTGGCTTTTTGCTATTGCTCTTTTAGGAAGAGACCAGTTCTTAAGGTAACAGTAAATCTGACTATTCTTCTTTTAAAAAATTAATTAATTAATTTTTGCTGCATCGGGTCTTAGTTTCGGCACATGGGATCTTTTTTTGCGGTGTGCGGGCTTCTCTCTAGTTGCGGCGTGTGGGTTCCAGAACGCGCAGGCTCAGTTGCCCCGCAAGCATGTGGGATCTTAGTTCCCCAACCAGGGATCAAACCCGCGTCCCCTGCACTGGAAGGCGGATTCTTAACCACTGGACCACCAGGGAAGTCCCCTAAATCTGACTATTCTTATCTTTTAGATTCTGTTCATAGCTTAACATAATAGTTTCTTGTAGCAATGAGTTTGCTATTATTTGTACCTGGGGTTCAATTGTGGATTCCTAGCTAAAACTCTTCTTGCTCTTGCTGTGAACTGACATATATTTAGGAAAGTGTGTTGTTGGACATCCAATTTTTCTGTCTACTTTAATTATTATTTCACATTTTAAAGTAAATCGTGGCTTTTATTTTAACCTATTTAAGCCCAGTGATTTTCAAACTATTTTAAAGCAGCAGAATCCTTTTAAGGACAATAAAATTTTACCGAAATTTAATACATAGTACAGAAAATTGGTTGTTCTTTACAGTGTGCGGGGGGCCTTTCGTACATCATATACTCCTGAAAGATAGTAGGTATGTCTTAAGCACGTCTGGTACTTATCACTTTATTTCTGTTTAATCTAGACGACAAAAGGCCAGAGAAAGGCAGCAGAAATTGCTTGCAGAATTTGCTTCACGACAGAAAAGCTTCATGGAAACTGCAATGGATGTTGGTAAGTCAAAATTTATTAGTTTAGAACTCTCATACTTACAGTTATTACCTTAGGGATTATCTAGTCCAATCATCCACCAGTTTTTAACATTACAGAAAGATGATTTCTGGTCTTTATTTAAACAATAGAGTGATGGAAGATCAGACCTTTATTATAGACAGTCCATTCTGTTGTTGAGTAGCTACAGTTGTTAGAAAGTTCTTCCTGATGGTAGTAATACAGTATTCTCCTGCTGCTTTCTTCTGTTAAACTGTCCTTTAGATTTGTGAGGTTCATCAGTATGAATTTACTTATTCTGACTTTTTCCTGTGAAATTATTCTAAGATCCTTAAAATAGTTTTCAGATACTTTCAGTGTCTCTTCCTGCTGCCCACCCCTTCACTATTTCTTAAAATCAGATGCACTTCTCACTTCCATTAGGATTAGCATTAGCATTTGTACAATGAGAGAGGATGCCATTTTCCTGTGTGATCGCAGATTGCTATGAGTAATCTTTTACAAACGTAGGAGAAATAGATTAAATCTCAATTAATCTCAGTCTTCAGTTAACTAGGATACTCCCTTCCCTGACTATTACTTGCATTTCATTGATTTCTCTCTCTCTCTTTTAACTTTTAGACAAAAATGCTGAAAGAAAATACACTGAAGTTGTGCCTTTAGTTAAAATATATACACATATGTGCATTCAGACATGCAAATACAGTCTCATGCACATAAGCACATGTAACTAAAGTTATATATATATATTAACTAATGTTCAATATATAACTAATGTTCAGAAGAGGTGTGAAGAGGAGGGTCAGTCCAGATTTAGCATAATGTGTTCTAAACCATCAACAGTAGAGTTTATGTTCAAGACATAACTTTGATGTAAAGTATACTAAATTCTGCTTATTGGGTTAACTTGCTATCAGTTGACTTTTTTTTTAAAATATCTTTATTGGAGTATAATTGCTTTACAATGGTGTGTTAGTTTCTGCTTTATAACAAAGTGAATCAGTTATACATATACATATGTTCCCATATCTCTTCCCTCTTGGGTCTCCCTCCCTCCCACCCCTCTAGGTGGTCACAAAGCACTGAGCTGATCTCCCTGTATTATGTGGCTGCTTCCCACTAGCTATCTATTTTACATTTGGTTCAGTTGACTTTCTTATAAGAAATATGAGGATTTAGTTCATTGACACTGCTTTCACTTTTTCTATTGTGTTTTCTTTTCCTTCTTTCCAAAAATTAATAATTATATATATTTTTTGGCTTTTACAGATTAAAGATAATTGTAATAAGTGTTACAATTAAGTGTTCTATTAAGTGTTCTATCTATAGCCAGTTTCTTCATATCTTTTCATATAAAATGAACTAATAAACACCCCTATTTTTCATTTTTCTTTTCCTTATCTCTACCTTCTGCATTTTATTAGTTACTTCTTTTCTTTTAAATTAAGGTTGCCAACATTTTGTTTTGCAGTTGCAGTCAAGTCTTCCATCCAGAGGTTTATTCTAAACGTTGAAAAACAGTTAAGATAACTTTTTGAATATTGTTGAATACAGGGCTAAAAAATAACCTAGTATTCATTTACTTTTTTTTTTTTTTGAGTCCAGTGGCCTGACTCCTAGCGCACTTTAAGGAGATTGTATTTAGTATATAGCCTCTTTTCTCACAGTCTTGCAATTGCTAAAACCGTACCATCCTTTATTCATTTCTGTTTGGGCCATTACTTTGTTATATTGTCTTTTGTTTCTCCTGAAGTGTCCAACTGCCTTTTTTTTGAACTAATATGCCTTTATGATATCCCTATTATTCTGCCCACTCAATCATACTGTCCTTTGCATGGAATTCTATTCCAGTCTGGTCCATTTGCTCTGTAGGCATGCTCTACAGCCATTACCTTAGGATTTTCCTCTTATCATGTTGATCTGGGGTTTCCTGCATCTTGTGTCTTTCTGGGAGTCTTGATTATTGGAGTGCAGCCTCAAGTGTATTCCCAATAATGCTTGTGCTGGAAGCTAAACTTTCTGATTCTTTATATTTCTAGATGGAACTCTGGTTTGCCTTCATGCTTGATTGTTAATTTGGATGAACATAAAATTCCCTGTTGATACACATTTTCTGTTACAACTGTTAAAGCAATACTCCCTTGTCTTTTGCCATTAATTTGATAAGAAGTATGGTGGTAGTTTGATTCTTATTCCTTTGTGGGTGAGCATTTTTTTCCCTTTCCTGTGACACTTTTATAATTGTTTGATCTTTAGAGATCTGAAGTTTTATGATATGTATCTAGGTGGATCTTTTTTCATTCTCCTTAGTACTTAATGGACCTTTTCAGTCTGAAGATTCATGTATCAGAAGCTCTGAGAAAAATTTTTCCTATGATTTTCTTGATAACTAGTATAGCCATCTTCCAAGATGACCCTCAATGATCCATACCTCCTAGTATTTATGCCCTGTGTAGTTTTCTCTGACATTGTGCCAGAATTGGTAGACATGATCACTGGGATATGGCAGAAGTGATGGTATGTCATTTCTGAGATTAGGTTATGAAAGATACTATGGCTTCTCTCTTGACGGCTTTTCTTTCTCTTGGATTACTCATTCTGGGGAAAGCCAACTGCCGTGTTGTGAGCAGCCCTATGGAAAGGCCTGTGTGGTTAGGGACAGAGGCCTCTGGCCAACAGTCATGTGAGTGAACTTGGATGTGAAACTGCCAGCCCCATTCAAGTTTTCAGATGAATACTGCCCAGCTGTTAGTTTGACAGTGATCTCATGAGAGATGCTGAGCCAGAACCATCAGCTAAGCTGCTCCAAGGTTCCTGACCCTCAGAAACTGTGTGAGATAATAAGTGTTGTTTTAAGCCACTAAATTTTGTGGTAATTTGTGAAACAGCAATAGAAAATTATTATAATAACTTTTCTCCTTATATTTATTCTCTTTTGGTGGGACTCTCACTACTTGGATATTGGATCTCTTGGATCTTTTAATCTTTTGTGTCTTTTTTTTATACATCTTTATTGGAGTATAATTGCTTTGCAATGTTGTGTTAGTTTCTGCTGTACAGCATAGTGAATCAGCTATATGAATACATATATCCCCATATCCCCTCCCTCTTGCGTCTCCCTCCCACCCTCCCTATCCCACCCCTCTAGGTGGACACAAAGCCCTGAGCTGATCTCCCTGTGCTTTGCGGCTGCTTCCCATTAGCTATCTATTTTACATGTGGTAGAATATATATGTCAATGCTACTCTCTCACTACGCCCCAACCTCCCCTTCCCACCGTGTTCTCAAGTCCATTTTCAACGTCTGCATCTTTATTCCTGTCCTGACACTAGGTTCATCAGTTATGTCTTTTTTATATCACGTATTCTTTTTGCTTTACATGCTTAGAGGTTTCTTCTCTTCAATATCTTGGTCTTACTTTGTCTGTAGAATTTTTTTTCAAATCTTTCTGAATGTCTCTCTTTCTCAATTATCCTTTATCCTTCTGAATTACTTAGAAATTTAAGTTAGTCTTTCATGTTGTTAGTTTTCCTCATTTGCCTGATAATCCTTGACTCTCCTGGAAAGGTGGTCTGGGTAGTTAATTTGGGTTTACCCTGCTGAGGTCTAAGTAGGTTTGATTCTAGTAATTCTCTTTAGCGTGAGTATGGATGAGGCGTGTCGACTGTCAGACTTAGATTTTGGTGGGAGGACTGCAGACTACTCTGTTTGGGCCTCCAGATGTTAACACTTAATTAGAAACCCCAGTGCTCTCCAAGTGACTTGTTCATTTCCTCTGGAGAAAGATAGTCTTTTTTTCCTCCGTGAGGTAAATGTCAAATTATCTGAGTGCTCTGTCAGTCAAAGTTGGGGAGGGAGTTGGGGTGCTGAGTAGTGAAGTTCTGTATATAGACTTTTGATTAATTACTCTGTTTTCAGAGTCACTTAATACTTATGACTCCTATCCTCTGCCTTACTGACTGATTCTGAGCCCAGAGTTGACATTCTTCTAACGGACAGATCAATTCTTCCTTTCTGTAACTTTCTCATAATACATAAGTGGTTGCAGCTTTTATGACTTTCTTTCATTGTCAGCATGTCTCCATCTCCTCCAATCTTTTGGAAATTTTATTGACATTTCTTATTTGTTGGTTGGTGAAACTCTCTTCCACAACTCCATCCTTTTTCTATATTCTTGGGGAAATATTTCTTTATGTATTTCTCTACTTTTATTTCAGTGGTTTTTTAGAAGGAATGGAGACAAAAGCCTGGGCTCAGTCTGCAATCTTGATTAGATACTTACTTATATTTGTTATTAAATATATAAAGTTAAAATTTCTGTTATTGCAAAAACATTAAATTTTTATTATAGAAACTTAGAAAACACATATAATCAAAAATAAGAAAATAATATTGTATTTTTACTGTCAGATTTCCTAACCTAGGCTGTATCCTTACAAATCTTTTTCTGAGTATATATGTATATAAATGCTTTTTTTTTTTAACCAAAATGAGTTAATTTCACACATGCTGTTTATTCTTATGAAAAATTTCAAACATACAGAAAAGCTAAAGGAATAGTATTATGAATCCCCATGTACCACTATAAGCCTCCCCTAGTTAACATTTTTCTTTATTTGTTCTTTCCCTCTCTTTCTGTCTCTACTAAATGAAGTAAGTTATAGACATCATGACACTTTACTCCTAAATACTTTAACATACGTGTCCTAGGATTGAGAATATTCTCCTCCTCAAGCACAATACATCATATGTCAGAAAATTACTTTTTCTTTCAAAGTAAATAGCTTCAAGTACCAACCTGGATATTATGTTAAACAATGAAATCATTGAAATAAGTTTAAAAAATTTAAAATTGTTTACAGATCATTTTGTCCTTCAGTAATTCTACTAAGGGTATATAGTCAAAAGCTCTGTATTCTGAAGTCACTTGAGAGCAGTCTTTTTGGGGGAGGTAGTGTAACCAGTTTGATGTACAGTTTGGTTTGTTTGTTTGTTGGCAACCT